AGGAAGGGAGGCAGCGGGCGCCTGTTGTCATCGCTCCAGCCAAGTCCTCGCCCCTGACTCGACTCGGCCACCTCACCGCTCTGAGCCTCCGTTTCCTCGTCTGTGAGCCCCACACGGCCACGTTAGGACGAGAAGCCCCCCGCGGGACACCACGTGCTCGCCACCGTCGAGTCGCGGAAGGAAAACAAGCACAGCAGCTGCGGTTGCTGAGGTTTCCTCTGGCCGACGTGCTGCTGGGAACCTTCTTGCTTTGTCTACACTGCAGCCACTGACCGGGCCTCATGCGGGCGAGGAAGCTGAGCCCCATGGGCGTCTGGCCAGTGGCTTGTTCTAATAAGAGGGTATAAATTGTCACTGCAGCTTTATATTGCTGATGACCAGGTGTCTGCATCGTTTATCATTTATTGAATATTTAATAAGTCACCAGTTAAAAATACATTTTCCTATATTTTAAATTTAATATGATTTTCTTCTTTTTAGGATGTTCATAGCTTTCAATTAAAAAAATCATGCTTTGATTAAATATCCGATTTTGAGGCTGCTAAAGTGTTTCAAGTTTTATGTTCAGTTTCTCTGGCTGAACCATTTTTTCTGGAACACGCATTTTTCCCCCTTTAGTCTCAGAAGGAAAATTGCATCTCACAGATAACTTATGCTCTGTTAAATGCCGACCTTTGTAAGTTTTTCTTTATTCTAATTTTTGAAATGATTAAGATATAGCCTCTACAGAATTGGAAAGCGTAATTTTTAAAAGTACTGAGAAACTTGAACTCTATTATAATTATTCTGCAAACCTTTAAAGGGGTCTGTAGTCAGAACAACTAGATGAAAAGCTCTGATAGACTGAAAAATATAGAGGGTCGTTTGTAGCCGCAAGTCTCTGGCCTGCGTTTCCCGCCCACCCGCTCGCTGTGCGCCTCGCATCTCAGACGGTCTCCTACCCCGGGTCCGTGGGAACTGGAAAGGACACTGTTCGATTCATTCTGTGCAAGTGCTGCGGATCACGACGGGCCAGTTATGTCACTTCCTGTCGTCTGATCAAAAGTTCAGTGAAGAAGCGGGAGTCACTGAGAGCCGTGCCGGGCAGCATGATGCTGACCCCTGGGCCCCAGTGGGGCCTGTCACATCGCCGTGACCTCTGGTCTCCTTAGAAGTGCCTGATGTTGGCAGCGGGTCCGCCCAAGAGCCTGGCCTTTTGGAGCGGAGCTGAGTGCTCCCTGCAACAAAGGCGGCTTGTAGATGCCGGAGTAAGGCCGCAGAGGAAGTCCTGACCAGCCCGAGTGTCTGCGGCTCGTCTGCAGTTGACTTTCTGGGCCTGTCAGGCCAGTTTCATTGCTATCCCAGGATCCCAACAGGCTTCATGAGTGAGATGGGCTAAATACATAGAATATACGAGCTCTTCCCCTCCAGCCACCGGGCAAAGACAAGGGACTCCTGGGTAGTTTTATATACCAACGGGGAACTGAGTGTCTAAGCACAGGAGCAGAGTCCCGGTGAATAAAGTGGAGGAGGTGGGTTGAGCTATCGTCTGCTCGGTTCAGTCCATGAAAGGTGGACCCGAGTTGGGTCCTGCGAATCCAGACTGACAGCTCGGGCTGTGATCTGTAAGCTCCGAGTATTGGAGGGGGTGGGGAGGAAGGGCCAGAGGGGAGCCAAGTGTGGGTTGGGGGGCAGGGAAGGGTGAGAATTATCGCGGAGCGTGCCTTGATCCTCGGTGTAAAAATGAGGAGTGGGCGAGGAGGAGGAGGAAGGGGAGGCAGGGAGGCTGGAGAGGGGCTGGGTCCCCATGTGGAAGGACAGGCGCCAGCGTTCAGATCTCTCCTTTAGCACCTATGTGCCGAGTGGCCAGGGGCCGTCCCCCAACTCCTCGTCTGTACGGGGGCCGCGTGCTTCGGGTTAGGTGGGAGTGATGTTTAGGTCCTCGAGGGGCCCAGGCAGTTGGAATTACTCTTGGAAAGTCCATAAGACATCCATGGGGTAGAGTAGCCTTGACTTTGTGGTCACAGCCTTGCCCACTACAGCTGGGGGTCGCCGGGTCCGGTGCTGGGACCGTTTCACGTGAAGGTGGCTCTCCGGTCCGCCCGGAGAACGGCTCACAGGCCGGGAAACCGGGCACTCCTCTCCCGCCCCCCACCTACTGGCTTTGTCCTCTCCTGCCGTGACACCCAGCCACACACCACACAGCCCCGTGACTGAGGACGGCCTTGCTCGGGGAGAAGTCGCAGCTTCGGGGCTGAGCTGGGCTCAGGCTCTGGGTGGGGGCGTGCACGCGCACGCACACGCACACATGTGCCCCGGGGCGGGGTGGGGGGCGCAGGGGAGGGCTCCGTGAGGTGCACCCTGGTGCTTGGCGCAAGGCGGGCCGGGCCAGGACTGTGAGTCAGAAGGGGGCCCCAAAGCCACTCCACGGAGTTCCCTCCCAGTTAGAGGACGGTGAGGGCCCTTAGCGGGGGACCAGCAGATCAATGTTTACTTCATTACCTATTAATGTACTTAACATCATTTTATTTATTTCTGAATGGATGCTACACACTGATTTAAAATGAAAAGGTACACGGGCGCCTGGGTCGCTCAGTCAGTTGGGTGTCCGACTTCGACTCAGGTCCTGATCTCTCGGTTCGTGGGTTCGAGCCCCGCGTCGGGCTCTGTGCTGACAGCTCAGAGCCTGGAGCTGCTTCGGATCCTGTGTCTCCCTCCCTCTCTGCCCCTCCCCTGCTCACGCTCTGTCTCTCTCTCAAAAACGAATAAACGTTAAAAAATTTAAAAAAAAAAGTAAAGTAAATGAAAAGGTACAGAAGAACGCGCAGTCAGGGGTCCTTCCTAGCCCACGCATGTCTGCCACCGGGGTTCTCTCCCGGCAAAGAACCGGAATTTGGTTGTGCCCTCTGCGCCCGCTCCGGCGCGTGTTGTGTGTGGAGGAGTGGACGCTTGCTCCTGCACCCCCCCCACGCCCTTTCCCCTGTGACACGTGGCACTGCTGTGCCCTTTGTTCTCGCTCGCTCTACTTGGAAGCTGTTCGTAGTGGAGTACGAAGAGCGTCCATTCCTTCCAGCGGCGGGCTAGCGTTCTACTCGCGTGGCTGTAACGTTATTTGTTTGTAACGTGCCCCCCCCTCCCCCCCACTGATGGACATTTACATGGGTTCCAACCGTATCAGGACAAGCCGCTCCCCCTCGGGACACTGCACGTGTGTGCGGGCTCGGCTGGGGCAAAGACCATGCGAACCCCAGTAGCTGTTTTCCCATCGACTTTCCTAAAAGGACCGATTCTAGAAGTGCCCCCTCCCTGACTCAGTACGTGAATCAGGCAGAGTTTTAGGACGTTCCTTCCGGGAGGCTGTTAGGAGGATGGATTTCAGCCGGACGCCTCTGAGGCGAAGAGCAGGTCATTTCCCGCCAGGGAGCAGCTGACCCGGGCCTGACGTGCGCCACGGGGCCGGGGCTGCGACGGAGGAGGCCCCAGAGGCGAGCTGGTGATTTGGTAGGAAACAGAGGGAGGCTCTCGGAGGGTGAGGTTTGTAGACCTCAGCCGCTGAGACGGTGCCGCCGATAGGAGTGTCACCCCCGCCCCGCCCCACGCGGCTGCCCAGTGGGGCCAGCAGGACGCCGGTGCTGGCTGCCGTGGGCACCGCCCCCCTCCGCGCCCTTGGGCCAGAGAGGCCCGGAGTCCCCGGGACGGGGTGAGGCACGAGAGGGGCTTGGGAGCCCAGAGAAGGGGACGGCTGGGACATTTGAGGCGCCTCGAGCCAGAGACGCCTGCTCTTCCTCCGGGGGGGCCGGGGGGCTGCGCAGGTCGCTGGCGACCGGGAAAGAAAGCCTCTGCGGCGCGGCCAGGCTCCCCGGTGTCTGGTGGCCCGTGGTGCCCGCTGGCCTAGAGCCAGGGCCCCGAGTCCGCCCTCAGCCGGAACGCTGGTTGTGGAGATCGAGTGGTTGACGAGCGCACACGGCGCACGGGCCGGCAGGGAACACGGCCCTCCTCGCCTTCCCCGTCTCGGCGGGTCTGAGCCTGGCTCACGAGAGTCCCCCGCAGAGCAGTCGTCCGCAGTTTCACCACACGACCATTGGTCTCGAACATTCCTCCCGGGGCAAAGGGGGATATACCCGCCTATTTCCGTATCCCCCCGAAGAGCCCCCCGCCCCCTTTTTCGGTAAAACTGCTTCAAGTCCCATTAGAAAGGACACATTCCCTGCACTGGCTGACGTTAGTCTTCCCTTCAGGGACTCCTCTGCGAGTCCTCCGTCTGGTGCTCAGCTCGGGCGCGGCCGTGTGTTTCGGGCGGGCGCCCAGCCAGGCACGCATGCGCGCGCACACACACACACACACACACACGCATGCATAGAAACGCACACACGTGCTCGTGGCACGCAGCTTCGCCCCCTTGGGACAACAGGAGCCCCTGCCTAGAAGGGAAGGGACAGAGTGGGTAGATGCAATGCAGCCACGTGGGGGGTGGTGACGAACCCAACTGCTGTGACGGGAAGACCCAGGAGCCGTACAGCAGACAGCCCCCCGCCTCCCCGGTGGGCTTCCAGCCCTCCCGCCCGCCGGCTTGGCCAGGGCAGATCCCCAGGCACTTGCCAGGTCTGAGACCGAGCTTCTCCCTGCTCGGATGTTGTTTCCTAGGCAAGATGGGATGAAGATGAGGGGATTGATGCAGTAAAAATGGTGTGGGTTTTGGGGTCCCCAGCCCTCCTGTGTGCTGGCCTGGGCTCTTGGTGAGCTCTCTGTGTTCCATGGGCCTCAGTTTCCTCCTCTCCAGATGAGGCGCCATGCCCGTCCCTCACGGCGGTCATAAGGGACCAGTGAAATCACATTGGTCAGAGTCCGTCCCCCGCGGCAGGGCTGGGAGGCGTGTGGTGGCCATCCCGCCCGCTTTTATCTTCGTACTTGAATCTGACTGGGTTTGCTGAACCTCGGGGACTGGGCAACCTTCTGCCGAGGCCTCTCCCCCATTTCCCTTTCTCAACTTGGCTTCTCTCTCCCTTTCTCCCTCCTCGCAGGGGCCCAGATCATCGATCTGATGATGCTGGTCATCGACGTGACCAAAGGGCTGCAGACCCAGTCCGCGGAGTGCCTCGTGATTGGGCAGATCGCCTGCCAGAAGCTGGTCGTGGTGCTGAACAAGATAGACCTCTTGGCGGAGGGGAAGAGGCAGGCTGCGATCGACAAAATGACCAAGAAAATGCAGAAGACCCTGGAGAACACCAAGTAGGTTTGCTAACAAGAGGGGCGTCCACGTGTCCGAGCTGGCTCTGGGGCGTGCCTCACGTCGCTCACCGGCGGGGCAGGCAGGTGTCGGCCGTGGGTCCCGCGTCAGGGGTTAGGGCTGAGATACTGTTGCAAGAGACCGAAAAACACAGAAGCCTAAGGAAATAGATGTTCATTTTCCAGGTAGTCTCCTAACGTGCGCACGCGGGGTGTCTGCTCTGCACAGCGTTCAGAAACCCGCGCCGCCTCCAACTCGCGGCCCTTCCCCAGCGCGTGTCCTTGTCTGTGTGGTCAGACGCGGGCGTGGACACCGCTGGGGTCACGTTCACGGGAAAGCCTGCCGCGGATTCTGTGGGCGACCCCGGTGTCAGGCCAGCACCCGTGTCCCCTCAGCGTCCGCCTCGCTGCCACGCGGTTGTCTGAAGGCGGAGATGAGTTTGGGTGGACGACCGGATGCATCTGTCGTGGAGGCTTGTAAAATTGGGCACGTGGCCGTCGGCCGTTGGCGGGGAGACCGGGCACGGTGGGGCCGCCAAGGACCCTTGTGACATTTCATGCCAGCGAGTTTACGATCCCGTCTTGCGGAAGAGTTTGTGCCAGGAAGTGGCCGGAAAGCGCTCCCATCCAGAGCTGACTGGTGCGGGGAGGAGGGACGGCTCAGCGCTAGGCTCCAGGGGAGCAGAGAGCAGACAGGGAGAGGCCGTCTGGTGGGGGTCCCAGGGAGACAAGTGTGGTCTGAGGTAAGGCTGTGGAGGGCGGGAGGGTGGGTCGGGGCCAGCTCCTCCCGGGGAGAAGCAAGGGGCCTTGTCGAGCGACTGGCTCTGCTGCGGGTCCTCGAGGACACGTCCGTGGGGACAGAGGCGGCCGTGCTGCTGGGCGGGGCGGGGCCGCACGGGCTGCGGGGGCCGCGGGACAGAGAGCCGCCAGGTCGCTCCGGCGGCCGCAGGAGGGACCTACTCTGGTGTGGTCACGAAACCCAGAAGATGTCCTTGTTGAGCGCACAGTGCTGGCCAACCCTGTTGTTTATCAATTCCCCTCTTCCTCTCTGGGCCAGCGCCTTTCGATCAATACTAAATAGCGGTCACTGGGAGACCGCGGCTTCCTCTCTGCTATGCAGCCCGAGCCAATATCCTGCTCACCTCTCCTTCTCCCGCGTGCGGAGGGCAAGCAAGCAGAGAGTGTTTTTGTTTCCCCGTCATAAAGATTGATGTGCCTTCCCATTTATGATTTTCTTTTTTCAGATCCAACACCTGCAACTCTCCCTCAGAATTCTCAAGTTGGTTAAATTAAAGCTCCAGCCCTGTGAATGGGCCAAATATGTCATAAAAGATTTCCTAGCACTGCCTTTTGTTAGCAAAATTCATCAATCCGATAAAATCGACACATTTAGATAAGTGTTGCATAAGAATTCAGACTTTGTTATTCCCAACGGAAGTGGATATGAGACTGTAAAAAGGAAGATAAAAAATTATATCTTCTTTTTCGTGAGTTATTTGATCTCCCTGCCGTTTTATTTACTTGTCAGAGAGGGGAGAACAGGTCCTTTGGAGTCCGGCATAAAAACCCAATACAAGGTCACTATCGTCGGCTATATAAATGGACCTTCGGGGAAGGGCTTGGGGCACTATTAAGGGTAAATTGATATTAACTATTTCGATCAGTTAAATTCAAGGCAAATTCTCCCTTGCATGTTTGAATTATCATTCCTATTTTAATTTATTGCTCGAAGGTCAAGTTATGGACTGTATCATCCAGAGCGGGGGGTGGGGGGGAGAGGAACTCCCCGTATAAAAGAAAGCATTGCCACCATGATGGGTTGTAGCTGGTGGGCTCAGGGGCCGGTGGCCAGGCCAGGGTGTAAGAGAACATTAGCTTTTACCTCCGTGCAGCAGAGAACTTTAAGTCCTCATAAGTGTCCGTTTCCTCTCCTTATGGTCCCTTGTGAAGTAAGTCCTTTGCAAATGCTGGCCCCAACGTGAAGACACTTCCTGCCTAAAAAAGGAAAACTTGGGGCTGATGAACTGTGTACGTATCAAAACTGAAAATATAAAACCTGTTAAAAACGTAACTTAATTTTTTCCATCCAAAGAGTAATTGAAAGACAATTAGAAAACAGAAGAATAATTAAAAGAAAGGAGACCACCCAAAGATTTCTTTTTTCACAATAGCTGCTGACATTTTGGTTTATTTCATTCCTGTAATATTACCACCCCCCTTTTCCTCCACGTTTTTTTAATTGTAGTGAAACATGCATCCTGTAAGATTTTACCCACGAAATTATTATTTTACCCATTTGCAAATATGCCGTTCATTGGCATTAAATTCATTGGCATTAAATATACTCACAAAGCTGTGTACCCATTGCCACTGTCTGTACCTGAAACTTTTTTGGGATTCCCAACACGGACTCTATCCTTTAAGCAGTAACTCTCCCTTCTCCCCTCCCCTCCCCTCCCCTCGCCTCCCCTACCCCCAGTAGCCTTTATTCTGCTTTCTTTTTCTTTGAATTTGCCCGTTGCAGGTACATTATACACATGGAGTCATTATACACATGCAGGTATTCGGTTTATTTCCATTAGCATAATGCTTTCAGGGCCCGGCCGTGTTGCCGCACGTCTCTCCTTTGTAGCTGAATAATAATCTGTTGTGTGTATGTACCCTTTTTGTGTTTCCATTCACCTATGGATAATCACTTGGCTTATGTCCTTTTGGCTAGTGTGAATAATGATGTATGAACGTTAGTGTACAAATATCTATGCAAGTCCCTGCTTTCAACTCCTTTGGGTCTATCCCTAGGAGTGGAACTGCTGGGTCATATGGTAGTTTTATGATTGACGTTTTGCGGAACCTCCAACCGGTTTTCCACAGTGGCTGCACCGTTGTACGTTCCCACCAACAATGCCCAGGTTCTACATCCTTGGCAGCACTTGTCATTTTCCTTTTTTTAAAAAAATAGTTATCGTAGTAGGTATGAAGTGGTATCTCACTGCGGCTTCCCCTACCCCCTTTTGCTGCCCCCTCCCCACTTTTACTGAGAAATATTTGACCTTTATCGATACATACGTTTAAGGCATACACTGTGATGGTTTGATTTACGTATATTGAGAAAGGATTACCAGTCAGTTCAGCTAACATCCATCTTCCTATATAGATACAACAAGAAGAAAAGAGGAAAGAAAAAAGGGGGAAAATGTCCTTGTGATGAGAACTCTTAGGATCTACTGTCATAACCTCTCCCCTGCACGCCGCATGGTCGTGTCCCTAGTCATCGCATCATACGTCACTCATGCTCCAGGACTGACTTATCTAACGACTGCAGGTTTGCACCTTTTGACCGCCTCCAACTCCCTGTCTCCCAACTTCTGCCTCCGGTGACCACGAGTCTGAACTCTTTTTCTGAGTTTTGTTTTTTGTGTTTTTGTATTTGTTTTTTTAGATTCTGCAGATAACACACCGTGTTTGTCTTTCTCTGACTTCTTTCACTTAGCATAATGCCTTTGAGGTCCATCCATGGTGTAGCATATGGTAGGATTTTTTATAGATGAATGATATGTGTGTGTGTATATATATACACACACATACACACCACAACTTTATCCATTCATCCATCTATGGACACTTAGGCCGTTTCCATGTCTTGGCTACTGTAAATAACGCTGCAGTGAACATGAGGGTCAGATATCTTTCCACGTCAGTGTTTTCATTTCCTTTGGATATATTCCCAGAAGTGGATCATATGGTGGTTCTATTTTTAATTTTTTGCGGCTCCTCCAATAGCGGCTATTTTCCAATAGTGGCTGCACCAACTTACACTCCCACCCACAGCGTGCAAGTGCTCCCCTTTCTCACCAGCATTCGGCATCTGTTGTCTTTTTGTGGACAACTGTTCTAACGTGGGTGAAGTGATAGTGAGATCTTACGGGTTTAACTTGCATTTTCATAATGACGAGGGATGTTGAGCGTCTTTTCATGTACCTGTTGGCCTTTCGTAGATCTTCTTTGGAGAAGTGTCTATTTAGATCCGCTGCCCATTTTCAATCAGGTTGTTGTTGTCGTTGAATTGTGGGGGTTCTTTATATTTTCTGGATATCAATCCCTTGTCAAATATAGAATTTGCAAACGTTTTCTCCTCTTCTGTAAGTTGACATTTCACTTTCTTCATAGTCTCCTTGGAGGCACAAAAGCTTTGAACTTTTACAAATTCCAATATATATATATATTTTTTTTCTTTCGTTGCCTGTGTTTTTGGCGTCATGTCCATGAAATTGTCGCCAAATCCAATGTCATGAAGGTTTTCCCCAAATTTTTTCTTAAGAATATTGTAGCATTCGGGGAGCCTGGGCGGCTCAGTCAGTTAAGTGTCTGACTTCGGCTCAGGTCATGATCTCACAGTTCGTGGGTTCGAGCCCCACGTCGGGGTCTGTGCTGACAGCCAGCTCAGAGCCCGGAGCCTGCTTCAGATTCTGTGTCTCCCCCTCTCTCTGACCCTCCCCTGCTCACTCTGTCTCTCTCGCTCTCAGAAATAAATTTTAAAAAAATATAAAAAAAATAATATTGTAGCATTTGCTCTTAAGTTTGGGTCATTCATCTATTTCTAGTTAATTTTTATATATGGTATGCATTTATATACGGTATCACTGAAGGGCCCAACTTTATTACTTGCATGTGGCTGTCCAGTCTTCCCAGCACCATTTGTTGAAAGAATTGTTCTTTCCTCTTTTATCCTTGTCAAAAATAAATGGATCATACGTGTGTGGGTTTATTTCTGGGTTCTCTGTTCTGTTCCATTGGTCCATGTGTCTGTCGCTACGCCAGTACCACACTGCTCTGTTTACTTTTGTAGTAAGTTTCAAAGTCAGGAAGTTGAGTTCTCCAACTTTTTTATGCTTCTTCTCCAAGATTATTTTGGCTATTGGAGGCCCCTTGCATTTCTTATATGAATTGGACGACCTGCTTTTCCATTTCTGCAAAAAGTGGTTGTTAGAGTTTTAATAGGGATT